CCCACCCCCTTCTAATTATGTGAACCCCTCCCTTCCTCTGGAGCACTCTTCTCTTCTTTGAGCACCCACCACTGAGAATTACCTTGCAGGTGTGAGAGGACTTACAACTTTAAATCTTACCACCCAGCACAAAGGGTAGGTGGTAGAAGAGTCTAAAATATATTGGCTAATAATTATTTTGGTTACCAATTCGTCTTATTCCTGAATTTTATTACCACAGATATGAGAGTTCATGATCCTTTTGGCATTTTGAACTCATGCTATGAATCTAAACCTGCCGCTCTAGAGAACTTTCTTTAGAGAAGCCCACTTGTCTCTGGGCCTCACCAGTCTGACCCTGCAATCGCTGAGCAGCAGGACCTGCAGGAACAAAGCAGCAACTAGACAGGTAGAACACTGAGACAGTCTCAGAAAGATGACACAGGACACGGTGTTTCAAAATTTGTACACTTGTTTACTTCAAGCAACAGTCCAGGATTGTGAAGTACAACACGCTTTTTAAGGATGAGACTTTTCGTTTGAGGGTCAAGCACCAGCATCATGCACACAGCTTCAAGTTCTCTCCGAGCCCTGCCCCAGCGGGGCCGCCCAGGTCGCAGACCCGCTTCTGCGTGGCCCCTGCCCTCGCTGGCTCCACGCGCTTGCGTTGGTCCTTTGGCGTGGACACGGAGCTGTCCTCTGCGGGAGCGCAGGAGGCTTTGCTCCTTGGCCAGTCAAGTTAGTATCTGGCTTATTTCTTACGGTTCAAAAAAAAAGGCAGTTTCTTTGCTCTGCAGGCAGCAAGGCATGAGGCACAGGCCTCTTGACTGTTCATATGGCACAGAAGATGCTTTTAGCGAAGGGCACTCACAAGTTAGGGCAACGCCAGGAAGGTTCAGCAGAGAGCCCTGTGTCGAAGGCCTGCGGGACGGTGCCTGTGGACTGTTTACGGGCCTGTCCCATCGAGGCTTGGTGCACCCAAGTAAAGCTGACAGGAAGGGGTTTTAAAAACCTCAGTACAAAAGATCCTCTAACACATTTGGAATCAAATTATTTGTTCTTAAAAACACGGTACTAAGTCTCACGAAGCTTTCCCTCCAACCTACTACTAGAAAACACTCATGCCGTGGCCTACAGACCCAGAGGACTCGGGACAGATCAAGAACCTGGTCTTCAAAAGGGAAAGGAAAAAAAAGACAGCGGTACATAAAGTGCTTCTTTTTTAATGAAACAAATCCAAAAGATGTACAGTCAGGCTCAAGTTGTGCAGTTCACAAGCATGGAGAAAACAAACAAACAAACAGAACGACAGAGTTGGGGACAGTCGGAGCTAACCCAGGACGAGGCTGGACTTGCCACCAGGGGGGTTTCTTCGGGACGGCACCGGGGCTGGTGCCACCGCCACTGGGCTGGGCACAGGGGCAGCGGGCACAGGCTTCTCCTCACTCTGCCCCAGGCTGGCCTGCAAGTCTGTGTCCACATTTTCTAGGAAAACAGAATGAAATTAAGACTAACAACTATTTCCAGTGAAGATGAAAAATCTAAGATATTAGTTTTTTGAGGAAGGTTCCAAACAGACCTGGAAATGTGAAGAAGAAAATGACAACCACCAACCATGTCCCCACCACCCAGAATTAACCACTGTCAGCGTGTTGCTGTATTTGCCCCAGGCCCTTTTCTGTGTATGTTCTTCCTCAATGACACAAATAATGAAGACATGAATATTTTATTTAAAAAAATTTCTTTAATCCTCACCTGAGGATATTTTTTCCATTGCTTTTCAGAGAGAGAGAGAGAGAGACTGATGTGAGAGATGGTGCCTCCCACACACACCCCAACTAGGGCTGGGGATCGAGCTTGCAACCGAGGTCCGTGCCTTGGCCGGAATCAAACCCAGGACCCTTCGGTCCCTGGCCAACGCTCTAACCACTGAGCAAACTGGCCAGGGCAAAGGCGTATTTTAAATTAAAACATCACATATAATCTCTAGTTCCCTGATCCCTAATACACTTCTATATGAGTCTCCTCGCCCTGTTCCCAGCAGGTTTGTTTTATGTGTATTTTCTTTCCAACACATTATGATGCTGTTTCTGTTGTATTTAACATAAATGATATCAACTTCCCTTTTTTTCACTCTTGCAAAGAGACCCATATTTATACACACGGTTATAATTCACCTTAATTAAACTGCTTTATTATATATATTATGCATTGGTCCAGTCTTCTCCTCCCGAAAGCAACCAACCCAACCACTGAGAACCCAGCTGTGATGCATCCGCACTGGAACGTGTGCCACGCCTTCAACTTGGACAGACGCTACTCCCCACCCTCCCAAGTGGCTGTGCCACGGTCCACCCCACAACCACGTCAAATGTGCCCTCCTTACACGTGCATATCCACAGCTTGAAAGCCACCTCGCTTTGCTATTTGCCAAACTGATGGGTGAGAAACACTCCTGCATTCCTGGACTGTTACGTGTCCCTGATTACTGGGCAAGGGTGATTTTAACTCCATAGATTGCCAGTTGTACCATCAACATTTATTAGGGTCCACCTTTCCCCTGCTGACTGGTAATAGCACCTCCATTAACCAGGTCACTCCCATCTCTTATTACCTGGGCATATTCCACATTAAAGTGTTTAGAATTAGTGTATTATTATCCAATATTTTGGATATTGCCTGATTCATTCACTGATCTGTGAAATTCCCAACAAGCATGTATATTCTTAACCAGGTAGTTTCCAAAATCAGACGTCAATGATTCAAAGTCAAGAGCAACCGCAAAAGAAAAAACTCAGTATTTTCTGTGAAAGGAACTTTCCACGAAGAGTTTAAGTTTTAAGGCATGTTAGATTTATTTTTTATTTTTAACAAAATGCCAGGCCTCGTTCCATTGTTAAACCACACTCAGTTGTGTGTTCATTCTGACACTTGCGCCTTAGGATAATCACACACTCACACACATAAACACACACAGGCACCTTTATTAGAAGGTGGGGGAGAAAAGCTACCATAAACTTAGAAAAAAGTTTCCCATCTCACCCAAGGATATGATTTTATTGATTTGGGGGGGAGGGGGGGAAACATCGATGTGAGATAGAAACATCAACTGGTTGTCCCCCGTTGCGCCCCAACCGGGGACTGAACCCACAACTTAGGTCTGTGCCCTGACCAGTCATTGAGCCCGCAGTCTCCTGTGTACGGGATGATGCCCAGCCACCTGAGCCACCTGAGCCACCGGCCAGGCCGCAAAGACATGTATCCCCTCCCCACCCCAGGAGTTCCAAACTCTGGAAGCAGTGACACGAAACACTCCCTGGTTATACTCTACTACGTAAGAACTCCAGATGGACTCATACTGGACATCAACGAAAAATTCTAATTTTGAAAACATGTAGTTTCTGCATTAAAGACTAAATATTAAAAGTTCATGTTCCTGAAACCACTTGCACCAAGTTTGGATTCAGCCGACTGAAAGAGAGAAGTCCAAGGGGAAGAGGTCTTCGGTCAGAAACACAACACAATCTCAGAAATAAGCCGCTGCTGCCTTTAACATTGCATGTTATGAATTTCTGGAGCATTCTATAGATGTAACATAGTATGACACACATAATGTCCTATAGTACTGAACTACAAGTAAAGACCTGGTATAACAGCCTCACGGTTGTGAACTGAAGTTCGGGGAGAAGGGACCAGTCACCCTTCGGTTTCCTGTTGCTACAGGCTTGTCACACAAGAAATGGTCACACGCATCACCATCGAGTACCCAAGTCCTACAGTGAGTGTCCCTTACATAACCTAGGAAAATACGTCCGATGTGCTACAAATACAAACAAAACCCCCATTTTAAAACAACCCAAAACAGATGGATACAGACCATGAGCTCAGGCTGAGCCAGCGCATCAACGCGAGCGGACAGTCCCATTCCTGCCGCCAGGCCGCGGCCTCTGCCCGCTGTACAGAACCCACCCGAATTCACTGTCTGTCTGGGCCAAGCAGTCAGTGAGAACTTCTACAGGACACGAAATCACCTTGCAGCTCTACCAGGGCGGTTAGTTTCCCTAAAGTGATTTTTAGATAAATCAAGCTCATTCCCACCAATCTTCTACTTGTCTTTCATTATTAATGGAGCTGTTCTGTCTTTCACAAGGTAATAACATGCCAAAAAAGAAAGGAAAAGAACACATATGGAGACTAAACAGCAGCAGGCCATCATTTAAATGCTCGTTTGTCAGAAATAAATACTCCAGCCAGGAGAGATGGCGGTTTGTTTGTTCCTCCATCTCCTAAGTCTGCACTGAGATAAGGAATTGAGTTTAGGAACTTCTATAGCAGCTCGACAGAGAAAGCTTTTGTCTGCTAAATCTAGTAATTTAAAAAATTGGGCTTTAAACAAAAATACTTCTCCCATAACATCCATCTTACATACTCCAGACTACTGACTTGTCTTTCCTCATCAGTAAAATACAGAAGTGATTCATTATAAGGACCAAAGAGTTAGAACAGGAAGAGAAAGTAGCAGAGCACGTAACCTGCCCGATGGCACGGAGGGACTTCTGCCTCAATTTCCTGGACCCTCCCCCTCTTCCTTATAGATTTCCAAAGTTCTCCCCGAGGCCACTGCTGTGTTTAATTACCCAACAGATGAAGGCAATTTCCCACATATCCAAACAAAATCTGTTTTATTTAAACTGAGCAGAGTAGCTCGGCTTTGAAGGAATCTTGGCAACAGAGCTGGGGTTGACCTCTACTCCACCAGATGTATCTTACATGACTAGGCCCCTTGTCATTTTATGACAAGTAAACTAAAAGTAGCAGCAGATGGGAACACAAAATAATCAGGTGGCAAAATTGATGACCATTTTAAAAAAAAGAGGAAGGACTTGTCACACTACACAATTCAATGTGCTATTTACCTGCAGAATCTATAACAAATTGAGCTGGGGGGGATTATTAATCATTCAGCAAGACACATGACACATTTTTTCACAACTTCATCGGGGTTCTCACATACTTCTCCAGGTTCCCCAAATTCATTTCTAATTGTATTCATTGGCCAAAATTAGTGAGTAAAGATTGTGGCTAAGGTCTAACAGTTGGAAGTATTTCAGAATATGAAATCAGTGGAATCGAAAAGCCTAGAAGGTATTTTACCTCCAGAACAGTCTTTTCAAATGGAACAAACTGGACACAGACAAAAACAAAAGGTAATGTGTCCAACGAGCAGGAGCCCGGGTTCCACTCACAAAGGTTCAGAAGAATCTCCTCCCCAACCCCCATTGAGAAACACATTCTAGAGGACAGAAGAGGAATGTGGTTCTTAAACATCGATTCCCTGGAGACTGATCACAGAATGTAAGGTAGGAAAGGCCACAAGGAAGCGCTTCTGGCCAGAAGGCCTACGATAGCGATGGCCGCACTCCACCAAGTCCTACTGCCAGGCCTGTCAACTCTGCATTACCTTCGTCAGCAATGCTAGCACTTGTTAAGGAAACGCCAATAATTACTCCACAGATTTAGAATAATCCAATAAATGATGACAGCTTTTTTTCCACACGGATGCTAACTGAGAATTTACATCTGCCCCCTAAATCACCACTTACAAGACCACAGGGTTGCCCTGTCTCGATGAATGACACCTCAGCATAAAATCCAGCTTGGTAAATTCCATGCTGTGGGCCAAGCCTGAGCTGCCAGAGCTGTTTACCAAAAAGCTCTCATCAAGTGTAACGAACACCAGCCCAAATAATGTACATGCACCTGTAAAGGATTTGGGGTTTTCCCTTCTGGTACATTTATGGTGCTGCTCTCACTGCCAGCCGATACCACACGCGGTCAGCCTCGCTAACTTTCCTGCTTCATTTTTCGTCGCTCCCCACCCAGAGTATGCTGATTCTCAGGCAAATCAGGTTGCAGTCCCCAGTCTCTTCCCCAAGACATGATCTGAATCAAAATTCCAATCTATTCTTTCATTGATTTTGGAGAGGAAGAGAGAGACAGAAACATCAATCGGTTGCCTCTTGCACATGCCCCAACTGGGGACCAAACCCACAATCCAGGCATGTGCCCCGATCAGGCATCAAACCCGCAACCTTTTGGTGTACAGGACGGCGCTCCAGCCAACTGAGCCACCCAGCCAAGGCTCCCATCTATTCTAAAACCATTTAAAGAACCAGAAATTTGGGCTTCAGAAGTACTCACCATGAATGTCGCCTTCTCCCTGGAAAAGAAAAGACATTAAAAATTTACTCCAGATTTTAATTTTGCAACATACAAATAAAGCAGTCTCTGTTCAGAGAGGCTACTATCTATCTGAAACCAAATGTTTTCAAGGTCAAGGTCAGGCTGCATTACAACAAGCAATCTTTATTCAACTGAGGAAAAAGCTGGACAAAAATGTCACTGGACAATTTGCCCCAGTGCCAGCAACACACCCAAATCCAAGAAACCGCAACATCTAACCAATATCACCCCAATAGAGTTAAAAATTTTTTGAAAAAAAACCTTACTATCTACGCTGATGACCTGCATCAATGAGCATTTCAGAGGCTCTTTTATCAGAATGGGAAACTGGTGAATCTACCCTCCCTTCTCCCTCTTTCTTCTCACCTAGGGTTGAAGGGCATCTAACAATCCCAAAGCCCACAGGGAGATGGCTAATGCCTCCATGTGCTCTGAGATCCCTACGCAGGACAGCCTACCAGGCTTTCCAGACACACAGCTAGGGGCTTTGGGGTGGTGCTACAGTCTCCTGGAGTTCAGCTCAAAACAACTGGACAACATTTGCCAACAATTTAAATTGTCCTTGAACTCAGAAATACCACATATATGAGATACACAGGAAGTGGGTGTGATTCAGAAATTCCAAAAGTTGATACCGAAGGGTAGAGACCAATCCTAATGGTTGAAGAGACCTCAGGACACACCAAGATCACGTTTACTCACTTTCTGACTTCCCTGTCTTTAGTTCTCAATCTCCAATCACCAACATGGCTGGGTCCCTTTCCCAGCAACCTCTATGGAAAACTACAGGGGCAGAGCTGAAGCTCCTAGTACAACGGGGGGAGTCTGATTTCTAAACTGAATTAAAGCTTGCCCTCTTCCCCAGGTTGTCACACTGACCTTCAGGTCTAAGAAGTCTCCAGAGTTGGCTTCAGAAGAGTTCCTTCTCTGGGGTCCAGATGACTCAGAATCTTCTCTGCCACCACTGGACTTGGCACCTGTAGCAGGAATATAATAGGAAGACCTAAAGCAAACACTTTCTTAGTGAGTAATGTACATTAGCCTCATATTACAAAATGAGCAAACAGTGTTAGGGAGGTTAAGTGACAGCTTAAAAATTCGACAGAAGGCCCAGCCAGTGTGGCTCAGCGGTTGAGCATCGACCTAGGATCCAGGAGATCGCTGTCTGATTCCCGGTCAGGGCACATGCCTGGGCTGTGGGCTGGACCCCCAGTAGGGGGCGTGCAGGAGGCAGCCAATCAATGACTCTCTCATCATTGATGTTTCTCTCTCTCGCCCTCTCCCTTCCTCTCTCTGAAATCAATAAGGACATATTAAATAAATAAAAAATTCGACAGAGGGACTGAATAAACCAATCTGATGTCATTCCTTATTCTGACCAATCCCATAAATTCTCAGCGCTTCCCGAGACTTAGTCCCAGTCTTTCCTCCAGTGAGAAGCTTTAACTGTCGTTTATCTCATTAGGATAAAGCTGGATCTTGCTCAGCCCTAAACCAGCTGTGGCTGTCCACACTGGCCGCCTCCCTTGACCAGCGATCAGACATGAGCCAATCACTGCCATAAGCCATACCTGCCGACTTGGCCCACGAAGGGGGATTTTCCTCAGGTGTCCCAAAGATGCTAGAGGCCATTTTGTTCTTCCTCATGGGCTGTTCTGTCGGTTCATCAAAGCCTAATGAAAAATTGGATCCGCCACCTGGAGGCCGCAAAACCCTAGGAAGAATGACAAAACATCAGTTTCAAACTACACCAAAACATTTCTTGGCAAAAATGTTGTCAAATACCTTTCACTTCATTTCCCCCGCCCATTCATTCCCCTTCCCTCCCACAAAAGAGCTGCTAGTGGGGAAGGGGTATTGATTCCATGGGGTATAAATTCAATGCTGGATGTTAAGATATTAAAATGCTGCTTTACAATATCTGTAGTAAGGTTGTCATCAAACGAGGCAGCTGAAACAGCCCAAAAGTCATCACAAACAACAGCCTGGCTGGCGTCCACTTTTAAGAAATGGCAGAAAACCTAAGAGACCGTGCTTCTTGGGCTTAGCTGGATATACAGGGTGCGGCAAAAGCAGGTTTACAGAGTGAGTATGCAAAACAGAGTATATTCTTATGCTATTATTTATTAATTATTGCATCATTTTCCATACAAACTGTAAATCTACTTTTGCTCCACCCTGTATGTGCAAAGAAGTTCAGGAGCATATCTTATTATTTATTTTCCATTTTTATTTTCAACAAAATAAAAAATGGAAGAATATACATATTAAAAGTTAGCTAGACCAATTCAGAAGCCCAAGCAAAGGTGATCATAAAGCATCTCCCCTATTCTCAACATCACAAACAAGCCCTGTTTATATACTTGTACCTCACTATTGTCACTAGTAAACACCAGTGACTAGCCACAGGGGAAAAAGTCAATATGAGAAATTAAGTGTAAGATTCATGGCATGTTCTATAGGCGTGCACCTTTCACACCACCAATAGCTTTTTGTTCAACAAGGAATACAGTACTTTCACATTTCCAAATCTTCCTGCCACAGGCTGACCAATTTGTCCCCTCCCTGGAAAACCTCAAAAGCACAGAAAATGAAGATGGTTTTATGGGAAGATTTTTCTAACTACTGATTCACTTCCTTTATTACGGATAGCAATAGTCTGGTTTCTATTTCTTCTTAAGTCAGTTTGAATAAGAAACATTTTTCAAGGAATATGACCATTTCATCCAAGTTTCCAAATAAATATAGTTGTCATTTGTAAACTTAGCTCGTAAGGTTAGAAAATAAAGGAAAAATTAATCAGGGTATACAAATTCTCTTCTAAGTACCCCACTAAAGGCATTCCCACATTTTGATTTTTTTACTATTGTTCCATTCTAAACATTTTAGCATTTCCATTATTTTCTTCTTTGACCCATAAATTAGTTAAAGTGCATTTGTAAGTTTCCAAACATAGGAGTCTTTGTAGTTTATTGATTTCTAGCTTTTAATTATAACATAGACAACAGTTTTATGACATGAACCCTTTGAAATTTGATGAGATGTGCCTTATGGCCTAATATGTGGTGAATTTTATAAATCTCTCTGAATGTGTATTTGCCAGTGTTCTATATGTCCATTAGATCAAGCCTGTTAATCGAGTTGTTCAAATCTACTAATTAAATGTTTTATCACTTACTGAGAGAATCTGTTAGCAACTTCTACTACAATGGGGGGTTTCTCAGTTTTTCCTCAGAATTCTGTTAAGATCAATAGTTCTTTCTCGCCCTGGCTGGAGTGGCTCAGTTGGTTGAGCACTGTCCCATGCACCAAAAGAACACTGGTTCTATTCCAGGTCAGGGCACATACCCAGGTTGCGGGTTTGATCCCCACTCAGGGTGCGTGCGGGAGGCAACCAATGTTTCTCCCTTAAATCAGTGCTTCTCTCTTTCCCTCTCCCTTCTTCTCTCTCTAAAAATCAATTTAAAAATATTTAAAAAAAAAAAGAGTTCTCTGTCAAAAAGACTGCCACTGGAATATTTTAGATCAGTGGGGAAAACTGCAATGGGTTAAGTGGCTTTTCAGTTTGATTAAATAAAATATATATCCCTAACTCACTTCAGTTACCAAAAAGTTCCAGGTAGGTCAAATATTTCAATTTAAAGAGTAAAACAAAAATACCGGAAGAAAATATGTACAAATGTTTCCTAGTCTTGAAGAAAAGGGCTTGTTTTCTAAGCACAGGATGAAAGCCGGAAATCCTAAAATGGACAGATTAAATTTGGCAAAATACACATAATGTTTGAAAAGGATACTATCATTAGTATATGAAATGCTCTTAAAAATCATTTTAAAAGTTATGAGAAAAATGGGCAAAAGGTAGTAAAGGTGATTTAAAAATATGGATAGCCTCTAAATATTAAAAATTCAACCTCATTAGCAAATAAATGAAATTTAAAACGTAGTTTTTTTGCTTATTAGACTGGTAAAGATGAAATAAAAATTTGCCAAATCCCAGCATTAATAGAAGTGTGAGAAAATTTGTATAAATTTTCTAAAGAACATTTTGATAATATGTATCAAATGTTTGCTTGCATTTTATATGAATCAGCAGTTCTACTTTCAAAAATTATCCTAAGTAGGTAACCAGACATATGTACAAGGACACTCCTACAAACAGGTTAATCTGTAAAAAGGTGGAAATACCCTAGTTATCCAATAGTAGGAGGTTAGGTATCAAAGTCTGTCCATACAACAGAAAGCTATATACATGAGGGTGAGATTTACCTTTAGTAGATGAAAAAGGTTACCCAAAACCCAGTGAACAAAAAGGTTCGAGAACAAATATAAGCCCAATTACGTGTTATATAAAATGACACGTATAGAGATAAACACTTATCTGGCTGTGACGCTGGGTAAGTCGCTTAACCTCTCTATGCTTCAGTTTCTCTTCTATAAAAATAAGATAATAATAGTGGCCTAGTAAGACTATTAGAAGGATGTCAGATATACTGTGCTTGGAATAGCAACTGGAACGTGGTGATCATGCGTCCTAGCTATGATAACAGTCATAACTAGACATAAATATCTGAAAGTATGTGCACCACAGAGTAACAGGTGGAAGGAACCCAAAAGGTACAACTGGCTAGAGATCCTTTGTATAAAGGACCAGAGAGTAAATATTTTTGGCTTGTGGGTCACATAGTCTCGCACAACTAACTGCATCACATGGCACAGAGGAGCCACAGACAACATGAAAATGAATGAGAGAGCGGTGCTCCAATAAAACTTCATTTAGAGACACTGCAATTTGATTTTCATGTCATTTTCACAAGTCATGAAATATTTTTCTTCTTGGTATTTTTTTTCCTTCAACCATATATAAATGTCAGGATCCAATGCCAGCTGGGTTTGACCCTCAGTGGTAGTTTGCTGGGCTCTGCTCTATCCCAGCAATTTGCAACTGGTGTTCTACAAGAATGTTTAAAATATGCAATCAATACCTGGCTATGTAGTCAGGGGCACTGACCTCTTTTCCCTTGGATTGTCAAATTTAAAAAAAAGGCAACATGCCAACGTAACAATAGCCATCTGGTGTGAGTGAATCAAAATTATACCTATTTTTTTAGTCAGATCAGCAAAAAATATGAGACATTAAATATCCACTTAGATTAAATTCACTATATGAAGGTAAATGCGTTCAGGTATACATTTTATGAGGATGATAATTTTAAGTTAGTGTAATTGTTTAAATCACAATTAAAAGGTATGTTATAAATTCTTAATAGGCTTTCTCTCATGTTAGTTTGAAGTGACCAGGTTGTCAACATCTGCACCCCAAAAGTTGACTTGCTTCATTGTCTTCCCCCTTTGTTCCCCAGAGATTAAATTTTTTTCCTTACCATCATAATTAAACCCTCATGATTTTTCAGCCAGATGAAAATCTTCAGAACCCTATTGGGCTGGGAAATATTTTTTGGCCTTAAGAACAAAAAAAGACACTAGTACCCAAACACCAGTTTAAAAAAAAAGTCAAAGCTCTGACCATTCCAACTTTTTAAAGGTTTGTGTTCCTCCTGCAACAGCAGGTAGGAACTACTCCGATGACGTCAGTGTTGTTGGAGCCCATTTGTAACAGCCAGACATCCCCAAACAAAGGATTTGAATCATAAGACAGAAATTATATTGGTTTTACTTTTTAAGGCCCTACTACTCTTTTTGAGCTACACAATGATAACGAAATCAGGATTACATATTTCAGGCTCGACAAAAATGTTTCCATGTACTGCAGAGAGCACATTTTTAAAAATTACTTTTTCTTTCTTCTCTCTTTAAATCCTAGAGTTCCCATATGATCTCTGCAGATCGTTTCCTAACACACTAAATCTATAACGTGTTTATGGAGCCAGGAGAATGTTACTGGGGGAAAGAAGTTGAGGAGCATGAGGTGAGATCATAGAAGGAAAGGTAGGAAGTAAATAGGGGGACAATGCTACAGTCCTGAGGTCACAAGGCTGGAGAGAAATTGGTGACAAAGGGTGAATTAAAACACTTATTGTGCAGATTCAAAACTCATTTCTGCCTCACATTTCAAATCTGCATATCAAAAAACGAGTGTGAGGGTTCATTTGACCAGGTCCCCGAAATTCTTTATGAAGCACTAAGCCGCACTCAGCCCCAAAGGATGAAACCTCAGATTTTTTTTACACATTAACATTCCAACCACTACATTCTGACTTGCAGAAAGTTGACCCCATGGCACAAACTGAAAAACCACCGTTCAATGTGCTCCACTGTCCTCTGAAAAAAAATGATCTCATTGGAAGGATGACAACAGAAGAGGGAGTGACCCTCTCCAGCATTTCCGTAGGTCTGTACTCCTCAAGCTCCCCCATTCTCCCAGGAACCACTAATTCAGTCTTTTAAAATCTCTCCCGTTTTTTCCTACATTGTGAAAGGGAAAGGAATGAGTTAAAAAGGAATGTCATTTCCAAAGCTCCCTCCTGAGACTCACTGCTGAGGCTGAGGCCTGCTTTTGTCCCCAAGTTCTCCAGCCCCTATGAGACACAGCTATTTCACGGCTGTCTTCTTAGCCCCACAAAATGGCTCCCTTTGTGCCACTTGCTCAGGACCCCAAGGCTGGCCACACACGACTCAGGTCACTGTCAACGAAGAACAGATGCCCAGAAACAGTGGAGTCTCAGCTTCCTCCAAGCCCTGAGCAAGGATCCCAGAGACGCCTGGATCCCACCTTAAAGAGCAGCCAGTGTGCAATTAGCCAAGACAATGTGGGCATGTTCCACCGGATCCAAACCCTTCCGCCAAGTTAGGCAGCCGCCTGGCAAACGGTCCCAGTCCAAACGCCATGCCCAGGGCCCCCTTTCCCAAATGCAGTGGCCTGAGTGGCCAGAAAGGCCCTGGCTTCCCAAGTGGAGATAGTATACGGAAGAGACAATGGATGTCTCCGGCCCCGCCCAAGAACAGGAAGCCTCCTCCAGCGAGGGAACTGGGGCCAGAGATGAACTCATTTCACAGACGTCAACAGGAGAAGCAAAGGAGGTGGGATGCGAAGACCGAGGTCCGAAGGTTTGAGCACAGAAAAGCCCCTCGGACCGGCGCACACTCTCCCCCGTTCGGGGTGGGCGCGGGAGGGGAAGGAGCAGGGGTCTTTCCTTTGTTAGCAGACGGGAGGCACTTGGCAAAGGGCTGACGGGTGGGTCCTGGAAAGGAGTTGGGGGGTCGCAATGACCATCCCGCCTGACAAAAAAATGCCACCTGCCCGCCGGGCCCCAGTGGGCAGGAGCCCGCCGGACCCGGTCGCTGCGACCACGGAATCTGACCGCCACGCCACCACCTGCCCCGGGCCAGTGACAGAAGCGCGTGGCCCGGGGGTAGGACAATGGGGCCCGGCCGAGGCGCCCCGTAGGCTGTCCTGGCACCGGGGGGGCTAAGACCACCGCCCTGGGGTCGGGCCGGCCACGCCAAAAAAAGGCAGTGCGCGAACCCTCTCAGCACATCCCAACTTCAAACCCGCCGCGCTGACAGGGCGAGCGTCCCCGGATCTCCGGTCCCCTCGCTCCGGGGCAGGAATGAATGAGGGAATCGGGCGGGGCCGGCGTGCAGGGCTCGCGGGGCGGCACAAAGGCGGGGCCGGCAGCCGAGCACCGCCGCCTGGCCAGTCGCAAGAGTGGCGCCCCGGGCACGTTACCGCCAACGACCCGCTGACCCGCCCGCGTGGTCCCGCCGGCTAGCGGCCCGCCCGACCCCGAGTCCCCCGCCGTCTCACCGGGAGCTATTCCTGCTGTTGGGGTCGACGCCCTTGAAGGTGGTGGTGGTGGTCATGGCGCCGAAGAGCGAGAAAGGCTGGCGCGGTACCACAGCGCTGAAGGGATCCGGCCAGAGGGGCGCAGAGGAGCTCCCCACCCCACCGACGGCGACCGCTGCAGAAGCCTCCGCCACCGCCTGTTGGACCGACCGCCGCCTTTATAGTGCTTGCAAGCCCCGCCCCCGCCCCGCCGGCATTGGCCGATTCAAATAGCTCTCTTCTTACCTATTGGTTCCCTGGAGTGCCAAGCATACTGCCGCGTCACGATTGGCTGTGGGGCTCTCCACTCACCCTAAACCCGCCTGCTTCCTGGTCAGGGAAGGTCTGGAGAAGTCCCCCTCCTCCCCACCTCAAATGTCGGAGATTATTGGGCAAAGGACAACCCCCCGCCCCCGCGCTCAGGAGGAGTTATGCTCGCCGCCACTTAAAATTAAGTTACCCCACCGCGGGGAAAGCTCGCTCCAGACAAGTTGGAACCCACAGCGCAGGGCGCACTTGTCGTTACCTTACACTTGCTTATTCGCCTCACTTATGGTGGGATAGCAAGGGCATGCTCCTCAAGGAATGAAAAGTGCTGCTCTAAATGGACATTTATTGAATACCTACAGTGTGTCTTGTGTGGAAGCCTGACAGTCCCAAAGCAGCAGCATTGAGTCAGCGACAGAAAGCAGGCCAAGATGATCCCTTTGAAAACGACTGGAAATTCTTTCCATTTTAATGTTACTATTTAGCTGTCATGGGCTTTGCATGCACTAGACCAAAATTACAGTCGTTCCGATTTGAGGGCCTGTTCTAAGGCTGGTTAATGCCTGGCGGCTGGGAATGCCCACATCCCTTGCCACCAAGACTATTCCAGAGCTCTGCAGCTGTTTATACCCTTAAGTCATGACTCTTCCACCTGTCTGGGTAAATCTGTCCCTGCAACAAATGCAGACACACTTGGAGGGCTCAGGAATGACTGTTTACAAAATCATGCGGGGTTTCCTCAAGGCAGATCTCTTTTTTGGGTATTTCCATAAAAATTGAACTACATTCCTCTTTGCATGGCCTCCTCCTTCCAGGCAGTTAGAAGTTTGTATTTTTGGTTAACCCCTCTTTCCAGCTCTCATGAAAAGCCAGAGGTAAGTTCTTCTCTTCTAGAAGACATGGATCATGTCTTTAAGTGCTTACCACAAAAGCATGAAACACAGTTGTATGGATTAAAATCTTTCCATTCTTAAAGACTGGGCTTAAATTTCCAAAACCTTAAAAAAAACACCTTCAGACCCATCTAGCCAGTCAGCATGCAAGCCCTCCTCAAAAATCATGTAATTATTGCCCTCGCCGGTGTGGCTCAGTTGGTTGGAACATTGTCCTGTGCAGTAAAGGTCCCCAGTCAGTGCACATACTCAGGTTCCATCCTGGGTCAGGGTGGGAGGCAGCTGATGGATGGGTGTTTCTCTCACATCAATGTTTCATTCTCTCTCCCCCTCTCCCTTCCTCTCTCTCAAAAACAACAAAAAACAAACATGTAATTAAAGACTAGGAGGTAGAGGAGTAAGGTGGTTGCTGGCTCAGGCTCTCAACTCTTTTGAGTTTTTAATCTCAACTCTTACCTTTTCTGAGCATGTTTCCTCATTCTTAAAATAAGGATAAAATAGTATCTGGACTCCAGAATTGTGAGGACTAAATTAGGTAATAGATGCAAAGTGCCTGGCCTAAAATTTAAGAAGTCATCAAAGTGATAGCCATTTTTATTCTGACTTACTTGGAAAAGAATCACATTCTTTCTAACAATCTGAAATTTTTTATGTACGAAATGAGGGGTCTGCACCTGACTCTTTAGGGTCCCTTTTGACCTAGATTTTTGAATTTGTAATTGCCTTGCCTTACTTCATCCCCTGTAGTCTAGTAGAAGAAAGGTTGCTGTGGCAATACAGCACTGGACTGAAAATCAAAAAGCCTAAGTTACAGGTCTGCACCCTTTCAATGTAACACTTTTAAGTATACTTATGCCCTTGAGCCCAGTTTCATTTGTAAAACGGAGTTAAGAATTGTAAGAATGTTGTATATAGTAAATGAAAGCTTTCTCTTAGAGGTGGTCTCACCCTGGCTGCACAGCAGAATAACCTATGAGCTTTTAAGGAATATAAATAAACACGAGGCCCCATCTGTTATCTACTAAATTGGAGTTTTTGGGTGTGGGGTTCAGAGAGGGAGCAAAACATCAATATGAGAGAGATACATCGATTGGTTGCCTCCTGCACAAGCCCCAACCAGGGTGAAGAATTGAGCCTGCAACCGAGGTACGTGCCCTTGGCCAAAATCAAACCTGGGACCCTTCAGTCAGCAGGTCAACGCTCTAACCAGAGCCAAACCAGCTAGGGCTATTTCATTATTTAAAAAAAATACCTGTCATGTGCTTTTTGAACTCAGTTTAATGATTGAATTAATGACTGCCCCACTGACAATTATTTCTAACAAGCTTTACTTCTCAGCCTCAGTATTGCAGGGTACTTCATAAGTGTATCACTTGTGTCTTAACCACACATATTTATACAAAAGTTCTGCATCCATAACTCTTAAAGCCAAATTTAGTATGCATCTGTCCATTCTTTTCTTAGCTGTACCCTCACCAAAAAAGGGGGGGGGCGATCAATGCCCAATGAGACAACCCAAGTTCTCTTAAACTCATTTGCCATTAAACAAATGCACTGAGAGGTCTCCAATAATGGAAAATAGCTTTGTCATGTTCCTGCCTTCTCTTTATTCAAAGATAAAAGATAAGGTAAACTAAGGTCTGACACACACTTCTCAGGTTTTTTTGTTTTTAAATCCTCACCAGAAGATATTTTTTCCACTGCTTTTGAGGTGGGGGGGAGACAGAAAGAAAGGAAGGGAGAGGGAGAAACACCGATGTGAGAGAGACACACCGAATGGCTGCCTTTTGCACGAATCCCAACCAGGGCCGGGGACAAGCTTGCAACCAAGGTATGTGCCGTTGGCTGGAATCAAACCCAGGACGCTTCAGTCCACTGATCAATACTCTAACCACTGAGCCAAACCAGCCAGGGCCTCAGGTCCTTTTTAATCACCGAACTGGAGAGAGAGCGTAATTCGTATCTCCCCATTGTTTCTTCCTCATCTCAAGAGCTGAATAAAATATTATCCCTTTTCCCAATTCCGTGTTATTTGTCTATTTATTAATAAACAGGCAAAAACTCCCCATACCCATCTGTCCCGCTTTCCTAAAAATGAATTTCACTTTCTTAGCAAAAATAATTGCTAACATTTTAAAGGGTATGCTCAGAAAAATGTGTGGAAAAAATTTTCCCTTAATATCCCCAATTGTTTTAACTTGTGGCAAAGTTAATCACATATGCCTTAAAAATGGGAATTGCAAAGAAAAGATATTACATGACAATTCTTTGACTTTTAAACTGTTTCACAAAGACCCAAGGGTGTAGGAAATTCTAAAATGATCTTAGTCACATGTCACTGCTTACAGGGAACACTCAATGTTACAAATAATAGATTCCTAGCCTGTTTATATACTCTAAGTATGTTCCATTCTGAGGAACTTATTTTCATTAACCACTAAACAGACCAAAGTCTCATTATAAAACATACTTCTCTCTACATTCAGGATTAACCCTCAAATCATCACCTAGATAATCAGAACACTGAAGCATCTTGCGGAAACGTCCTTTGGTTCCTAAAGATTGGAGAATCATTAAAATCCTGAGGAATGCCCTGGCTGGTGTGGCTCAGTTGGTTGGAGCATCGTCCCGTACACCAAAAGGTTGTGGGTTTGATTCCAGGTCTGGGCACATACCCCGGTCCGGGAGCGTGAGAGAGGCAACCAATCAATGTTTCTCTCTCACATCGATGCTCCTCCCTCTCTAAAAATCAATAAACATATCCTCAGGTGAGGATTAAAAAAATAAATCTTGAGGAAATCGTTTCCTTAAAGACTCACTAGAGCACAATTTAGTATTAAGCATTTATTAAAAAACCTACTGAGACATGAGACAAAGATCATATTCTGTTTTTTAAATAGAAAGTTCTTGGCCAAGTCTCTGATTTCTCATTTACATTAAGTGCAGACCAATTGGTACTCAGTTGAAGCCTCAGCATTCTATGGCAGAACCCATACTTCACACTAAATAAAGTAACTTTTCTGTTTTTAATCCTCACTTGAGGATGTTTTTATTGACTTTTAGAGAGAGATCAATTGGTTGCCTCCCGTACATGCCCTAACCAAGGATCAAACTCACAGCCTAGGTATGTGCCCTCACTGGGAATTGAACCCGTAATTTTTTGGTGTACGGGATGATGCTCCAACAGAGCCACCCGACCAGGGCTGAATATAGTAACTTTTACTTAGAGTTCAGTATATTGGAGGCATTTTCTGGACAGCTAAATCATATATTAGCTCAACCTGACCAGTGTGGCCCAGTGGTTAGAGCATTGGCCCCCTGCAACGAAGGGTCACCGGTTCAGTTCCCAGCCAAGGGCACGTACCTGAGTTGCAGGTTTGACCTCGGCACCAGTGCCATGTGCAGGAGGCAATCAATCCCTGTTTCTCTCCCCTCTTCCTTCCTTCCACTCTCTCTGAAAATCCACTGGG